CAGTGCCAGTGGGAGCTGCCAAATACCATCATGATCGGGCAGTGCCAGTGGCAGCACCTTCCCCGGAGGCTGCCCTTGCCACGCAGTCCTGCAGCTGCAGGAGCACAAACCGTCCCAAGAGAGCTGTCACAGATTCAGTGGGGTCTAGGGGGGTCTCCCAGGGCACCCATGAGGCCCCCAGTTGCTCTAGCACTGAGGTGACAAAGGGAGGTGAAGCTGTCGGCACTGCTGGCAATAGGGGCGGGGTTTTTGGGGGGGCTCAGTCACACCAGGCTGGGCTTGCTCCGCTGTGGCCGGGCAGCGGGTTCTGGCACAGCCGGGCCCTGGGGACCCAGGAAGGGGAAGGGGTCTCCATACCTGGCTGACACCGGTTGCAGCATCTGCCCTTGTGTTCATACTGCTTATCAAAGCATCTTACGGCATCACCAGGCACCCAGCACTAGAAGAAACAGGACCTGCGAATTCATGCCGCTCCCCAGCACCACCTCGCTTCTGCAAGCACGCGTGCGCTAACCTGCACGCTAACCCACGTCCCGAGTTGAGGGCTTCCTTGCACCGCTTTTCCCATGCCTGTGCTAACCACAGACCACAGCAGAGCTGCCTGTGCTGCCTGATGCCATCAGTGCTCTCTTTGAAGCGGGGTGGCAGCAATTCCGGTAAGGTGGCCCCACATTTCCCCAGGTTTCCTACCAGATGGTGATTGCACATTACCCCGTGCCCCTGCCCCTGCCAACAGTGCTGCGGTCTGTGGCTGGGGAAGCCGTGTTAACCACACGTCCCATGCCCAGAGCCCTGCCAGCCCCTTCCCAAGGCTGATGCACTGGCCCTGAGGGGCAGGAAAGCCCCAGGCAAGCGTACCATCCATGCGAAGTCAGGCAGGGCCCTTCCTTGCTCCTCCTAGCAGGGGACTGTGTGCACGGGGAAGGGTGGAGAGGAGGCAGGGCATCAGATCTCGGGCCAGCCTGGGTGCGGGAGGGCACCCACAGCACCATACCCCTGTGCGGAGCGAGCCCCGCGCCCCCATCCCCAG